CCCATCATCCCTATCATCTCCATCATCTCCATCATCTCCATCATCTCCATCATCCCCATCATCTCCTTCACCCCCTTCATCCCCATCACCCCCATCATCCCCATCATCCCTATCATCTCCATCATCTCCATCAACTCCATCATCCCCATAATCCCCATCACCCCCATAATCTCCATCATCTCCATCACCCCCTTCACCCCCATCACACCATCATCCCCATCATCTCCATCATCTCCATCACCCCACTTCATCCCCCCATCACCCCCATCATCTCCATCATCTCCATCAGCCCCTTCATCCCCATCACCCCTATCATCTCCATCATCTCCATCATCATCATCATCCCCATCAAATCCATCATCTCCATCATCTCCATAATCCCCATTACAACCATCATCTCCTTCACCCCCTTCATCCCCATCACCCCCATCATCCCCATCATCCCTATCATCTCCATCATCTCCATCATCCCCATCACCTCCATCATCTCGATCATCTCCATCATCTCCATCATCCCCATCACACCCATCATCCCCATCACCCCCTTCACCCCCTTCATCCCCATCACCCCCATCCCCCCCCATCATCCCTATCATCTCCATCATCTCCATCACCCCCATCATCCCCATCACCCCCCCATCATCCCCATCACCCCCATCATCCCCATCATCCCATCATCCCCCATCATCTCCATCATCTCCATCATCCCCATCACCTCCATCATCTCCATCATCTCCATCATCTCCATCACCCTCTCATCCCCATCACCCCCATCATCATCCATCATCATCCCCCTTATCCCCATCATCCCCATCACCCCATCATCTCCATCATCTCCATCATCATCATCATCCCCATCAAATCCATCATCTCCATCATCTCCATAATCCCCATCACAACCATCATCCCCATCACCCCCTTCATCCCCATCATCTCCACATCCCCATCAGCCCTATCACCCCCTTCATTCCCATCATCTCCATCATCCCCATCACCCCCTCATCATCATCCACGTCATCCCCATCACCTCCATCATCTCCATCACCCCCATCATCCCCATCATCCCATCTCCATCATCCCCATCATATCCATCATCCCCATGATCTCCATTATCTCCATCACCCTCTCAATCCTCATCAACCCCATCATCTCCATCATCGCCATCACCCTCATCATCTTCATCATCTCCATCATCCACATCATCCACATCATCCCCATCATCTCCATCATCCACATCACCCCCCTCATCCCCATCATCTCCATCACCCCCATTATCCCTATCATCTCCATCATCTCCATCACCCCTATCATCCCTTATCAGTTTTTTTCGGGTTATTAATACTTAATAGTGACTTCCGGCAGAAAAGTAATTTTTACTGATTTAAACAATGTCATTCTTATATTACATAAAAAACAATAAACGACTTTTTTTTGGTTTGTAGTTATCCAGTGAAATTATAATCTCTGCATATTTAGAACACTTTGTGTTTGTTTTACCTATGTCAAGAAGTGACACAAGTAGTTATATTGCGATACTGTTTGTAGGCACTTTTCTTTATTTAGATAAAAAAGGTAATAAAGACTGCACATTATAAATCGATCAAATCTATATACCTACCATGTAAGTATATAAAAATGTTAAGATGACTTGTATACCTATTTCATTATATTCAATTTAATCATTTTTTTTTAATTTTTAATTATGAGCACCAATTTCTAAAGTAAAACAATAATAATGTTAAATATTATCTATATATATAAAATATAATTGATTATTTATATTCTTTTTATATAAGTAGTATGTATTGTGTGCCTATAACTACTTGGGAAGTTGCTTACTTTAGATACTTAAGTATAGAGTTGGTACAGCATTTTGAGCAATTCGTGTACAGGCGGTCCTCGACTTACGTCGTTTCGATTTACGTCGTTTCAAGTTACGTCGAACAATGTTTTGACACTATTCCTCAAGCATACGTCATTTGTTTCGATTTCCGGCATATCGGAGAATTCACTTGTCGCAAGGTCAATGTCCGTGAGGGGCGCTAACCGTTTGCCTGACATTGCAGTTACTACTGATGATATTGATGATCTGTTAAGCTCACATTCGCAAGAACTGACTGATGAAGATCTTATTGAATTGGAGGCACAAGTACAAAAGGAACCACTCGAGTCACAAGAAATAGCTTTGTAGCAGCACGTACACGAAGTAATAACAATAGTTTATTTATTTATAAAGACGTTCTCGTTGATGGATTTGGCGACGCTTTCATCGTTGAAACGGAAGCACATATTAATAACAATAGTATATTTATAAAGACGTTCACATCGCTGGATTTGGTGACGTTTTCATCGTTGAAACAGGTACACATATTAATAACAATAGTGTATTGATAAAGACGTTCTCATCGCTGGATTTGGTGACGCTTTCATCATTGAAACAGGTACACATATTGATAACAATAGTGTATTTATAAAGACGTTCTCGCCGCTGGATTTGGAGACGCTTTCATCATTGAAACAGGAACACACTGATGACACGATGCCGGCTCCTCGCCACGACGTAGTCTTCTTCTTCTTCAGTTAGCAGCGTTTTCAAGATGTTGTCACTCCCCGGCGCGCGCGATCCAAAAGACCGATGCGCTCGCTGGAGTGACAGATATAACCACGGTTAACGCATGCGCAGTGATACCGATTAAACGCATGCGCATTAAAGACGAAACCGTATGCGCGGCGACCAATCAAAACGCCTGTTTTAATGTGCTGGTTATTCATATTCTATATGTAATCAATTTTCTAGTATAAATAACTGTAAATATTTTCAATAAAATTTTCCTTGAACAAGTGAAAAGTCTATTATTCTCTCCATACGTCTCAACGCTCAAAGTGGTGACCCTCGACAGAACACGAAGAAACTTCTGAAGAAAAGGAATCCGGACAAATCCCTGCCCGAAAAATCATTCAAATATGGAAACCCAGCCACCTCAAGCTCTCGCCAGCTCTCAAGCCGCCGCTAACCAATTACTTATTAATGCAGTAAAGAAGCTATCACTCGAAGTAGCTGCATTAAAGGCACGACCGGCATACAACAACTTCACACATCGAAGAGATCACTCCCGAAGCCGTCAACGCAGATTATCAACACATCGCAGTCGTCACAACTCGCCATCTCCACTGTGTTACTATCACCGCCGCTTCGGTAGTCAAGCCCGACGGTGTACTACGCCGTGTAGTTATACTAAAGACCACACGAAGTCGGAAAACTAGACCGAACGTTGGCAGAGGCGGAATCCGGCGTTCACAAATCATACCGCCTGTTCGTTACCGATAAAAAAACGAACTACTCTTTCTTAGTAGACACGGGAGCCAATATCTCCGTACTACCTCGAAAACCAGGCCAGAAATCGACGCCGCTACCTTTCAAATTATATGCCGCCAACAACACGGTAATATCAACGTATGGAGAACGAACGCTCGAACTCGATATAAATCTACGACGACCGTACAAGTGGAAATTTATAGTTGCCGATGTATCGAAGCCTATATTAGGAGCCGATTTTTTAAACTATCACCAACTCATCGTTGATATCAAGAATCGAAGATTAATCGACGCCGTAACGAATTTACGAGTAAACGTGCCGATTAAATCAACCACTACACCCACAATAAGAAGCATCGACATAAGCGACGCGTACCACGACATACTCGCTGAATTCCCCGGCATAACACGACTTACCGCAATGAAGCTGGGAACTAAAATCAACGTCGAACATTATATCGAAACTACGGGACCTCCGATCCACTGCCGAGCACGACCTATACCGCCGCATCGTTACGAAACCGTTAAGAAAGAATTTGAGAATATGATGCAACAAGGACTCTGTCGTCCTAGTAAAAGCGCATGGTCATCGCCACTTCATATTGTACCTAAAAAGAATGGGGATATAAGAGTGTGCGGTGACTATCGACGACTCAACGCGATAACGAAACCCGATCGCTACCCAGTACCGCGAGTCAAGGACTTCACACATCATCTCTCAGGTAAAACCATATTTTCAACCGCCGATCTCAACCGCGCTTACCAACAACTTGAGGTCCGCGCCGAAGACATTGAGAAGACAGCAATCATAACACCAATGGGTTTATTTGAATTCCCTCGAATGTGTCCCGGTCTGAAGAATGCCGGACAAACTTTTCAGCGATATATTCACGAAGTGCTCCGAGGACTCGATTACGTATTCCCTTTCATTGATGACGTTTTGATAGCTTCAGCTAACGAAACTGAACACCGAGAACACCTCCGAACTGTACTCACACGATTTCAAGAGCACGGCATCACTATAAACCCCGCGAAATGTAATTTCGGAAAACAGCAAGTCAAATTCCTAGGATACATGGTATCGGAACAAGGCATCAAACCGCCCGATGATAAAGTCAAGGCTATCGTCAACTATACGAAACCGAAAACAGTTGAAGAACTACGACGCTTCCTAGGAATGTTAAATTTCTATAGAGATCACATTCCAAACGCCGCCACTATACAAGCTCCGCTAAATTCATATCTACACAACGTTAAGAAGCGCGATAAAACTATAATCGAGTGGACCGACGAAGCAACGCAAGCATTCGAAGCATGTAAAGTTAGCATCAGTAACGCGACCTTACTCGCTCACCCGTCTCACGAAGCAACACTCGCAATATTCAGTGACGCCTCAGACAACGCCGCCGGAGCCGTACTACAACAGTACATACATAATACATGGCAGCCCCTCGGTTATTTCTCAAAGAAATTCTCAGACGCTCAGAAAAAATACTCAACATACGATCGTGAATTACTTGCTATATATATGGCAGTAAAACACTTTAGGAAAATATTCGAAGGCAGACCACTCATAATATTCACCGACCACAAGCCACTCACGTTTGCTATGAACAAAACATCAACAAACAACGAGACGCCGCGACGAACAAGACAATTATTATTCATTAGTGAATTTACAACCGACATACGTCACGTAAGTGGGAAACAAAACATCGTCGCCGACGCTTTAAGTCGTGTCGAAACTATATCCTGCCCGTCTACAATAAATTATGAAGAAATAGCCTCAGCACAACGAAGTGACAACAACATTCAACATTTACTTCAACAAACCAACCTATCATTCAAAAAGGTAAATATTCCTAATACAGATATAGAATTACTTTGTGAAGCATCAACATCATTCATACGACCTTACATACCTACCGATCATCGTAAAGAAGTTTTTAACAACATACATAATATCAGTCATCCCGGAACGCGAACAACAAGGAAATTAATAACAAGAAAATACTTTTGGCCGTCCATGAATAAAGACATCGCAACGTGGACTAAAAATTGCATTCAATGTCAGAAGAGCAAAATACAACGTCATACACACAGCAAAATAAATTCGTTCCCGCCAACCGACCGCTTTCAACACGTGCACATAGATATCGTCGGACCGTTACCTACAACAGCTCAAGGTTACCGATATTTAATAACCATGATCGATCGACATACGAAATGGCCCGAAGCGATACCTACCATCGATATATCCGCCGAAACAGTCGCAGAATGCATATACAACAACTGGATAAGTCGATTCGGATGCCCCGCTACAATAACAAGTGATCAAGGCCGACAGTTTGAAAGTCAAATATTTAAAACTTTAATGAAAATACTCGGAATAAAAAGAATACGAACTACGCCTTATCATCCACAAAGCAACGGAATGATCGAACGATGGCATCGTTCATTGAAGAACGCATTACGCGCCAAACTATCCGATACAACGTCATGGATCAATGAGTTACCTACTATACTACTCGGGTTAAGAGCCGTCTTACGCACCGATAACAACGTAAGCGCAGCCGAACTTACTTACGGTTATAATTTAAGACTCCCAGGTGATTTCCTCGATACAAATAAAACAACAGACTCAGCATCATTAAATTATAATTACGTCAAAAAATTACGAGAAAATATACAGAAACATAAACCATTACCGAACTCGCAACGAAACAATAAACACATTTTTGTACATCAAGACCTACGAACATGTCCGTACGTGTTTATTCGAGTCGACGCAGTCAAATCACCGCTTCAAACACCCTATGAAGGCCCCTTCCGAGTTGTAAACAGAACAGATAAAGTCTTTACAATTCAATTACCCGATCGTCAAACATGCATCTCAATTGATCGACTGAAGCCTGCATATGTGTTAAATACCGAAAATTCAGATTTACCTCAAACCAAGAAAACCATTACAAATGATACCAGAGTTACCATCAAAACCTTACCAATTGAAAAATCAGCTGATACGAACAACATGACGTCACAGCCTACTCGTATATCAACTCGACTAGGCCGCTCCATCAAGTTGCCGGTACGTTTCACTTGAGGGGGATTACTGTAGCAGCACGTACACGAAGTAATAACAATAGTTTATTTATTTATAAAGACGTTCTCGTTGATGGATTTGGCGACGCTTTCATCGTTGAAACGGAAGCACATATTAATAACAATAGTATATTTATAAAGACGTTCACATCGCTGGATTTGGTGACGTTTTCATCGTTGAAACAGGTACACATATTAATAACAATAGTGTATTGATAAAGACGTTCTCATCGCTGGATTTGGTGACGCTTTCATCATTGAAACAGGTACACATATTGATAACAATAGTGTATTTATAAAGACGTTCTCGCCGCTGGATTTGGAGACGCTTTCATCATTGAAACAGGAACACACTGATGACACGATGCCGGCTCCTCGCCACGACGTAGTCTTCTTCTTCTTCAGTTAGCAGCGTTTTCAAGATGTTGTCACTCCCCGGCGCGCGCGATCCAAAAGACCGATGCGCTCGCTGGAGTGACAGATATAACCACGGTTAACGCATGCGCAGTGATACCGATTAAACGCATGCGCATTAAAGACGAAACCGTATGCGCGGCGACCAATCAAAACGCCTGTTTTAATGTGCTGGTTATTCATATTCTATATGTAATCAATTTTCTAGTATAAATAACTGTAAATATTTTCAATAAAATTTTCCTTGAACAAGTGAAAAGTCTATTATTCTCTCCATACGTCTCAACGCTTAAAGCTTCTTCTATTAATTAGTGACTCTGAAAAAGAACTTACACTAAAAAAACTTTCCGTAGCCTTTGCAAATTTGAAGAATGCCATGAAAATTTTTGAAGAAAATGATCCTAATTTTGAGAGAAGTTTTAACTTTAATAACAAAATTTGTGCAGCCTATCACTGTTACCAAGATCTGTATGATAGCAAGAAGAAAGAAGCCAAGCAATCTAGAATTGATAGTTTCTTTAAGCCAAAAGTTTAATTTATTATTTATCATTACATATGTATAAGTTTTATAATTATTATTAAAATTAATAACACACAAATACCAAAAATAACTAGCAATTTCATAAGTGCATAATATATAATTATTTTAAGAACTTACTTTTAATAATAAAGTACGTCCTTTGTTATAAATGCAGTTTTTTTTATTATTTCGAGTCCGTGTGGAACCTAACCCTTGAGTTTTACATGTAAACATATGAAAAAATATGTCTCGACTTACGTCGGTTCGATTTACGTCGCGTATTTCAAGAACCTAACATGCCGTAAGTACGAGGACTGCCTGTACTAGAAGAACGGTAAAAATCATTAAATTGTAAAAATTTTATGTAATTTTAAATCATTGCTCTTAATATAATGTAGGAGTTATAACTTTAATTTCTTATATATTGTGAAATGTATTAAGAATTAGAATATATTTTAATTAAGGAATTAATTGTTGTTTTTTCATTTTTATTTGTTGAAAAAAAAAAAACCTAATAAACCTTCAAAGTAAACTGAAATGACGGAGGTATACCAAATGTCCTTATATACCAATTTTCCTTACAAATCAAAGGTCTTTATATACCAATTTTCCTTATATACCAATTTTCCCTATATACCATGTTTTTATATGCCAAATGTGCCATCCAAATATAACAAATATGCCATTACCGTCATCTCCATCATCCCCATCACCAACATCATCCCCATCATCCCAATCATCTCCATCATCTCCATCATCTCCATCATCAACATCACCCTCATCATCCCCATCACCCCATCATCTCCATCATCTCCATCATCCCCATCACACCCATCATCCTCATCAGACACATCATTGCCCTCATCATCAACCCCATCATCCCCATCATCCCAATCATCCACATGTCCTCCATCATCCCCATCATCTCCATAATCTCCATCATCCACATCATCCCCATCACCCCCATCATATCCATCATCCCCATCACCCCCATCACCCCAATCATCCCCATCATCCCCATCACCCTCTTCATCCCCATCACCCCCATCATCTCCATCATCTCCATCATCCCCATCACCCCCTTCATCCCCCTCATCTCCATCATCATCAACCCCATCATCCCCATCACCCCAATCATCCACATCTCCTCCGTCATCCCCATCATCCACATCACCCCCATCTTCCCTACAACCCCATCATCCCAATCATCTCCATTATCTCCATCATCCCCATCACACCCATCATCCTCATCATCCACATCATTCCCCTCATCTCCATCATCATCATATCCATCACCCCCATCATCCCCATCATCCCCATCACCCCAATCATCTACATCTTCTCCATCATCCCCATCAACCACATCACCCCCATTCGCCGTACACCCCCATCATCCCAATCGTCTCTATCATCTCCATCATCCCCATCACACCCATCATACCCACAACCCCATCATCCCCATCATCCCCATCACCCCCATCCTCCCTACACCCCCATCACCCCCATTCGCCGTACACCCCCATCATCCCAATCGTCTCTATCATCTCCATCATCCCCATCACACCCATCATACCCACAACCCCATCATCCCCATCATCCCCATCACCCCCATCCTCCCTACACCCCCATCATCCCCATCATCCACATTACCCCCATCCTCCCTACACCCCCATAATCCCAAGCATCTCCATCATCTCCATCATCCCCATCATCTCCATCATCCATATCATCCCCATCTCGCCATTCATCCCCATCATCTCCATCATATCCATCATCCCCATCATCTCATCATCCACATCATCCACATCACCCCCATCATGCCCTTCATCCCCATTACCCCCTTTATCCCCATCACACCAATCTCACCATCATCTCCATCATCTCCATCAGCCCCTTCATCCCCATCACCCCTATCATCTCCATCATCATCATCATCCTCATCAAATCCATCATCTCCATCATCTCCATATTCCCCATTACAACCATCATCCCCATTACCCCCTTCATCACCATCATCTCCATCATCCCCATCAGCCCTTTCACCCCCTTCATCCCCATCACCCCCATCATCCCCATCATCCCTATCATCTCCATCATCTCCATCATCCCCATCACCTCCATCATCTCGATCATCTCCATCATCTCCATCATCCCCATCACACCCATCATCTCCTTCACCCCCTTCACCCCCTTCATCCCATCACCCCCATCATCCCCATCATCCCTATCATCTCCATCATCTCCATCACCCCCTTCACCCCCATCACCCCAATCATCCCCATCATCTCCATCATCTCCATCACCCTCTTCATCCCCATCACCCCCATCATCTCCATCATCTCCATCAGCCCCTTCATCCCCATCACCCCTATCATCTCCATCATCTCCATCATCATCATCATCCCCATCAAATCCATCATCTCCATCATCTCCATAATCCCCATTACACCCATCATCCCCATCATCCCCATCACCCCCTTTATCCCCATCATCTCCATCATCCCCATCACACCAATCATTTCCATCATCTCCATCACCCCCTTCATCCCCATCACCCTCTTCATCCCCATCACCCCTATCATCCCTTATCAGTTTTTTTCGGGTTATTAATACTTAATAGTGACTTCCGGCAGAAAAGTAATTTTTACTGATTTAAACACTGTCATTCTTATATTACATAAAAAACAATAAACGACTTTTTTTTGGTTTGTAGTTATCCAGTGAAATTATAATCTCTGCATATTTAGAACACTTTGTGTTTGTTTTACCTATGTCAAGAAGTGACACAAGTAGTTATATTGCGATACTGTTTGTAGGCACTTTTCTTTATTTAGATAAAAAAGGTAATAAAGACCGCACATTATAAATCGATCAAATCTATATACCATGTAAGTATATAAAAATGTTAAGATGACTTGTATACCTATTTCATTATATTCAATTTAATCATTTTTTTTTTTTAATTTTTAATTATGAGCACCAATTTCTAAAGTAAAATAATAATAATGTAAAATATTATCTATATATATAAAATATTATTGATTATTTATATTTTTTTTATATTAGTAGTATGTATTGTGTGCCTATAACTACTTGGGAAGTTGCTTACTTTAGATACTTAAGTATAGAGTTGGTACCGCATTTTGAGCAATTCGTGTACTAGAAGAACGGTAAAAATCATTAAATTGTAAAAATTTTATGTAATTTTAAATCTTTGCTCTTAATATAATGTAGGAGTAATAACTTTAATTTCTTATATATTGTGAAATGTATTAAGAATTAGAATATATTTTAATTAAGGAATTAATTGTTGTTTTTTCATTTTTATTTGTTGAAAAAAAAAACCTAATAAACCTTCAAAGTAAACTGAAATGACGGAGGTATACCAATTGTCCTTATATACCAATTTTCCTTATAAATCAAAGGTCTTTATATACCAATTTTCCTTATATACCAATTTTCCCTATATACCATTTTCTTATATGCCAAATGTGCCATCCAAATATAACAAATATGCCATCACCGTCACCATCTCCATCATCTCCATCATCCCCATCACCCCCATCATCCCCATCATCCCAATCATCTCCATCATCTCGATCATCTCCATCATCTCCATCATCCCCATCACACCCATTATCTCCTTCACCCCCTTCACCCCCTTCATCCCATCACCCCCATCATCCCCATCATCCCTATCATCTCCATCATCTCCATCACCCCCTTCACCCCCATCACCCCAATCATCCCCATCATCTCCATCATCTCCATCACCCTCTTCATCCCCATCACCCCCATCATCTCCATCATCTCCATCAGCCCCTTCATCCCCATCACCCCTATCATCTCCATCATCTCCATCATCATCATCATCCCCATCAAATCCATCATCTCCATCATCTCCATAATCCCCATTACAACCATCATCCCCATCACCCCCTTCATCACCATCATCTCCATCATCCCCATCACCCCCTTCATCCACGTCATCCCCATCATCCACATCATCCCCATCGTCTCCATCATCCACATCACCCCCCTCATCCCCATCATCTCCATCACACCCATCATCCCCATCATCTTTATCATCTCCATCATCCACATCATCCACATCATAGCCATCACACGCTTTATCCCCATCACCCCCAACATCTACATCATCCCCATCATCCCCATCATCCCCATCACCCCCATCATGCCCATCATACCCATACACCCCATCATCCTCATCATCTCCATCAGCTCGATCATCTCCATCATCTCCATCATCCCCATCACAACCATCATCTCCTTCACCCCCTTCATCCCTATACACCCCATCATCCATATCATCCCTATCATCTCAATCATCTCCATCATCCCCATCATCTCCATCATCTCGATCATCTCCATCATCTCCATCATCCCCATCACACCCATCATTCTCTTCACCCCCTTCATCCCCATCACCCCCATCATCCCCATCATCCCTATCATCTCCATCATCTCCATCAACTCCATCATTCCCATCATCCACATCACCCCCATAACCCCCTTTATCCCCATCAACCCAATCATCCCTATCATCCCTATCATCCCCATCACCCCCATCATATCCATCATCCCCATCATCCCCTTTATCCCCATCACCCCCAACATCCACATCACCCCCTTCACCCTCATCAACCCAATCATCCCCATCATCTCCATCACCCTCTTCATCCCCATCACCCCCATCATCTCCATCATCTCCATCAGCCCCTTCATCCCCATCACCCCCATCATCTCCATTATCTCCATCATCCCCATCATCCACATCACCCACATCACCCACATAACCCTCTTTATCCCCATCAACCCCATCATCCACATCACCCCCATAACCCTCTTTATCCCTATCATCCCCATCACCCCCATCATATTCATCATCCCCTTTATCCCCATCACCCCCAACATCCACATCACCCCCTTCACCCCCATCAACCCAATCATCCCCATCATCTCCATCACCCTCTTCATCCCCATCACCCCCATCATCTCCATCATCTCCATCAGCCCCTTCATCCCCATCACCCCCATCATCTCCATTATCTCCATCATCCCCATCATCCCCTTCATCCCCATCACCCCCATCATCACCATTATCTCCATCATCCCCATCATCCCCATCATCCACATCACCCCCATAACCCCCTTTATCCCCATCAACCCAATCATCCCTATCATCCCCATCACTCCCATCATCCTCATCATCTCCATCATCTCCATCATCCCCATCACACCCATCATCCCCATCACCCCTGTCATCCCCATCATCCCCATCATCCCTATCATCTCCATCATCTCCATCAACTCCATCATCCCCCTAATCCCCATCACCCCCATCATCTCCATCATCCCCATCACCCCCTTCATCACCATCATCTCCATCATCCCCATCAGCCCTTTCACCCCCTTCATCCCCATCACCCCCATCATCCCCATCATCCCTATCATCTCCATCATCTCCATCATCCCCATCACCTCCATCATCTCGATCATCTCCATCATCTCCATCATCCCCATCACACCCATCATCTCCTTCACCCCCTTCACCCCCTTCATCCCATCACCCCCATCATCCCCATCATCCCTATCATCTCCATCATCTCCATCACCCCCTTCACCCCCATCACCCCAATCATCCCCATCATCTCCATCACCCTCTTCATCCCCATCACCCCCATCATCTCCATCATCTCCATCAGCCCCTTCATCCCCATCACCCCTATCATCTCCATCATCTCCATCATCATCATCATCCCCATCTAATCCATCATCTCCATAATCCCCATTACACCCATCATCCCCATCATCCCCATCATCCCCATCACCCCCTTCATCCACGTCATCCCCATCACCTCCATCATCTCCATCACTCCCTTCATCCCCATCACCCCTATCATCCCCATCATCCCCATCAACCCCATCTGTCAAAAAAAAGAGAAATGTCTTCGTTTTTTTTTTAGATTATTTTAAGAGTGAATGTCTTGTTCATAGTTCTGTGCCTCTCCCCTTATTACATGTTTGAAAAGATATACGGCGGAAGGAACGTTTCAAGATTTTCATAAAAATCATAAAAAATATCAACTTTACACATGTGTTCAAATTATGTGTGCTACAATATTCGTTTGAGTCAGATGGAAATATTTTTATGAGTGTGTGAGGGCAACAGAAAGTAAGAATATAACCTTAACAGTTTTATTGTGAAAATATGACAACACCCGATCTTAATGTAAACGTTAGTAGAGACAAAGACATCCTGCTCCCTCAGCACCATTATGAATAAATAAACTGTTTAATAGGAATTAGATTACGATAATTAATATATAATAAAAAACAACGTGTGTCAACTGAAGATCGACAGAAGAATGATTTATTGAACATAGACAAATACAATAACGCTTATTGACATGATTGCCACAAGATGGCTAGTTGTATCCATATTTTGATATCCACAACACTTCCCATTAAAATATGATCTATTTTAAACTATATAAATACTTAACATGAACTTAAAGTTAAAATATATTACACTCTAACAATTCCTAAAGCATTTACATGTTTATAATGTTTTACAACACTTAAGCTTTTGGTAAATTACTCTGCAGGCATATCAGATATACACAAATAATTAATACTAACAATGTTTTTATTTATAATATCTCAGCAATAGTGATACCTGACATCCATATGTTTAGTTTTATTATGGAATACTGGGTTCAGTTATAATTTCTGAGCACTCATACTGTCATTATACGAGTACAAAATAATAGTATACATTCTACAAGTCACTTCATTTTGTAAGTTTCTCAAATACACTGCTTCTTTGCAGGCTTCTGATTTTGACACATTTTCAGCTACAGTACTAGAAAGTGAAATACATTTTTGTTTGCTACAATTCCAGGATATAACTGATCCTGACAAAATATAACAAAACCCTGAATATGATTTACTGTCATTAACATCACTGCTCCAGTCCTTATATCATTATAACATATCTTCTACCTGGCAATTTCCCAGCTATAGCCAGGGTCTGCCTATATCATTATAACATATCATTATAACATATCTTTCCTTATAACATATCCTTCAATATTATCATTTTTATTCTTACTACATTTCAAACCAAATTTTATGTTTTCTTTAAGTATATATAATATTCTTTTAGCCTAAACCCAAAGCTCTTCACTAATACAGTTATTGAATTGGATTAGGTATTAGGTAGGATCTTCAAACTGCCTATAAGTTGTTGATAAGGATTCTGATTATTTATTTATTTAGGCACACAAACAGAATATAATCCGGATTACATTTGAGTTACAGTCTAAAATTATATTTAGCTTGATTATATTCCCAAGCATGTGTACACTTCATAATCATTACAAAACCAATATTTTTGTCAGGAGCTACATTATTTAGGTACAATTTAAGACTAATGAATAAATAGGAACATATAACTTAAATTCAATTACTTAGTTGTTGATACAAAAAAAAAACATTAACGGACATTACAAATTAGTTTAAATTACATTCACTGAGTCAACAATAATATAAATAGGAGCAAAAGAGACAGATACAGTCAATTAAGATTGTGTAACAAGTATAATTAAAAAATAAAATAAAATTAAAGAATTAAATTAAAAAATTATAATAATAAATAAATTGTCAAAATTAAAATATAATTCAATAACAACTACATGGCAATAAACATAAGAAAAAAAAAGTCATTGGAGAGTAAATCATTGAATCGTCAATATAATAAGCCTTACCCTATTTTTAAGCCTTGTAAAATTGGGATCAAATATATCTAACATGTCACTGTGTTTTGAAAGTAAATCATTGTATGTACGGCAGAGTCTAATGATAGGGTTATAATATGATGTATTACTAATGTGAACGCTGAGGACGAAGGTATTCAAATGTGGATGTTGAGATCTAAATTTGATGTTAAAATGAATGAGTGATAATAAGGCAGATAGGTCGATTCTAGAATGAATTATTTTGTGCCATGCATAAAGTTCAATTCACATATGTCTTTATTTTAGTGTGAGCATATTAAAATAGTAAAATTCTATCTTTTAAGAAATATTAGATTTCTCAGAAGATTAATTTTTCTTGTAAGTCCAGAGTCATAAAAGCTGAAGATATAAAAGCTGAAAAAAATTGATTCATTACTGGGAAAACCATAAAAACAGCCCTTTTCTATTTCCCATACAAACGTTTTTTTTTACATTAGATTTGACAACTAATATGACAATCATTCTTACGAACTTCAAAACACGGTGATTTATGGCTTACAAGTAAACTCCAAAAATATAAATAAAAAAACGTAATATTGATTAATTAGTTTACATTCCGCGAAATGTTGCGTTTAAGGAACGTTGGAATTACTGAACTTGAATTTCACTAGCAACTCTTTTATCGTAATAGTATTATGTATTACTGTGAGTTATGTATTTTAAAACAGTCAACATGAAGATGAACTTAAAATTTTTTACTCATATAAATTTTTGTACTACTTCTATATTGTCGACGTTTATTTACATGCTGAAAAAAAGAGCGTGGGAATTGAAACGTTGACGCGGGCTTTTTAAAAGGGCAATGTCCATTTTTGGCCTAGCGTGAACAAGCTGCTATCAAAAAACAAGTTTATGAAAAAAAAATATATTTTTTTAGCTAGCCATTCTATTGTTGTTGGAGTGTACATTTGTATTTTATTGAAAAAATATTTTTAAAGTATCTTCATTGATTTGCTTTATTGATCCACGTTTTGTGTTACCTGCAAGATCTCGCAGTACTTAATACAACTATAAGTATTTAATAAAAAAATATAATATTTGTTTTTAATTAGTTTCGTCATTTAAAACGTTTTATAAACTGAAATATGAAGAATGTTAAACATAATCATATTTGTTTTCGATCGATTTTTAATGATGTTTTTCTATTGCAACACTAATAAAACGAAAAAATACATATTGACATTGATATGTCACAGACTGATTGTTTACATTCGCTTTGTTTACCTATATACATTGAGAGTGTTGATTTATTATGGATTTTCTTTCAACGATTGTTTATTCATTATGGGCTCCGACCTATCTTTTTCCAATGACCCCTGCACATCTACGGACCCCGAATTTCGCTCAAACGATGACCCTGGCTTTTGTATTATGGACTCTGATCAAGGCATAAACGATGAACAACACTCACGTAATATGGACCCCGAAACTAGCTCCATCGCTAACCACGGCTTTAATATGGACATTGAACAAAACCAAAGCGTGTCTCATGATAGTCTGCACACAGAAGAAGTGACTTCTTACCAATCCGTATCTCTGAGATGCATAAACTGTGGAAGTGATTTGATAGAGAGAAGGCGACATAGTCTAGATCTTAATTAGGTTCAGTCTATTATAAGACAGTGGATAGCTCCTCGACGAGTAAGTGTCAATTTAATTAATTATTTAAATTACTCGTTTTTTAATAGATATGTATTGTATATGCTATTCCTATAGTGCAAAATGAGGTTTTATTGTTTTATATAATTATAATCCATAAGGATTAAGTATATAAATACTGTTGTATTATAATAAATGAAAAGATGTTTACTCCTAACACATTAGGTAACTTTGTTATCGAAAATAATTTAAATAAAAGGCGGGCAGATTTTCAACCTATAAATGTAAACATGTATAGTTTCATATTTCCAAGAATAGAATATAATGATCTTAAATTAATTGCATGTGGAACATACCAACTAAAACAAGCTTGTTCGTATTACAGGCAGCACATAAGAGGCGAAGGTTCCTATACTTTAGAAAAATGTAGAAATATAGCCAGCGACCTATTAGTTGACTACCTGATTCCTTTGGCCAACTGCAGATTATTGCATGGAAAAATACAAAGCAGGCATGTAAGTCAAACAATATATTTTATATATATAATGTAAGGAAGCTATAAAAGAATATTATTGTAATTGTATGGTTAGTCGAAGGACAGTGGGTTGCTGCGCTCATATAATGACTATTTTATGGTTTTTAAGTTGGGCAAGGTATCAGGAACACATTTCACCACCTGTCCAATTTCTTGAACACATATTAATAACATATGATGTCTCAGAATAAAAATAAATCATAAAAAATGTTGTTTTATTTTGCTTTAACCTGTTTTTCCTCACATGAAAAAAATCTCTTTTTAAACATTTTGATACAAAATTAAGTTCATATTCTCATTATTACTAGTTAGTGCTTTTAAACTAATTACAAAAAATATGATAAAATGGCTGTTCACGTCAGGCCAAAGTCCCCATACTAAGTGGACAATCTTCTTTTAATTATTTTAAATAGTTTTATACTATAATTTGCAAAGTTTTGTAAAAATTCACCGCGATGCTCCATATGCACAGAGGGGTATTCTTTCAAAGAATGCAAGGTTAACATTGAAAAAGCTTAACATTAATTGTAATGGCAATCACATTGCCATCACTAGCCAGTGCCCTATAAGGCAAAAGAAAATCGCAAACAGTAAACCCAAATCATATGCTGACACGTTAAAAGATTCATTAAATTTTCCCTCCCTTAATAAAAAATTAAATACCCAAGAAGAATATAATAGTATTGCGTGTATTTAAGTATCTTATAAAAATTCTGAAACTATGACTATTAACAGAATCTATAGTAAAAGTTATAACTTTAAATAAAACTCAAAATATAAGTATTAGTTCACATTTTATTAGCTCAGCTATTAAAGAAACCGTCCAAGACAAAAATAGCAAATCGTCACATTCTACCACTAAATCTTAAAAATTGTACAGTGGAATGCTCAAAGTCTGTTAAGTAACAGACTTGAGTTTCAAAATTTTGTAAACCAAAATAATATACAGGTAGCTCTTATTTCAGAAACTTGGATCAAGCCTAGCATTCAATTTAATTTAT